GAGTTCGAGACCAACCTAACCAATATTGTGAAACCCTGTCTCTACTAAAAATACAAAAATTAGCCAGGCGTGGTGGTGTGTGCCTATAGTGTAGTCCCAGCTATCTGGGTGGCTGAGGCATAAGAATCACTTGAACCAGGAGGCAGAGGTTGCGGTAAGCCAAGATCCACCACCACACTGCAGCTTGGGCGACAGAGCAAGACTCAGTCTAAAAAAAAAAAAGAGAGAGAGAGAGGGAGAAAGAAAGGAAAAGAAAAGAAAGAAAGAAAGAAAGGAAAAGAAAGAAAGGAAAAGAAAGAAAGAAAGAAAGGAAAAGAAAGAAAGAAAGAAAGAAAGAAAGAAAGAAAGAAAGAAAGAAAGAAAGAAAGAAAGAAAGAAAGGGAAAGAGAGAGAGAGAGAGAGAGGGAGGGAGGAAGGAAGGAAGGAAGGAAGGAAGGAAGGAAGGAAGGAAGGAAGGAAGGAAGGAAGGGAGGGAAAGAACCATACACCAAAAAAAAAAAAAAAAAAAAAAAATTCAAACAGACCAATACTTACTATGTACATAACAAATCCTTAAAAACAGTAAAATATAATGTTGGTCACATTTTGTCAAATTTTGTCATTTTAAATCTTAGGGTGAAAAGAGTTTTCCTTAATAGAACAAAAAAATCCATAAACCACAGAGGAAAATTAATAAATACATTCTATTACAAAGAAAGAAAAAGAAAGAAAGAGAGAGAGAAAGAAAAGAAAGAGAGAAAGAGAAAGGAAGGAAGGAAGGAAGGAAGGAAGGAAGGAAGGAAGGAAGGAAGGAAGGAAGGAAGGAAGGAAGGAAGGAAATAAGGAAGGAAGGAAGGAAAATTTCTACATATTTGTGAATTTTTTAGCTTTAGTTCTGCTATTGATTTCTAGTTTCATTCTACTGTGATTGGAAGATAAACTTGATATAATTCTACCTTTTTGAATTTGTTAAGACTTGCTTGTGACCTAACATGTGATCTATGCTGGAGAAAGTTCTGCGGCCCGTGGGATGAGTGCGTATTCCGCTGCTGTTGGGTCGAAGGAATGTCCTTTATGTCCATTAGGTCCATTTGGTCTATACAGTTGTTCAAGTTCAATGTTTGCCTATTGTTCTTCTACGTGCTAGTTTTATCCATTATTGAATGTGGGGTATTGATGTCTTCTACTATTTTGTATTGCTGTCTATTTCTCCAATTCTGTCAATATTTGATTTACATATTTAGATGCTCTTATGTTGGGTACATATATATTTATAATTGTTATATCTTTCTAGTTGATTGTTCCTTTTATCGTTATGTAATGACCTCTGTTTTTTGCAACAGTTTCTCACCTAATGTCAATGTTATCTAATGTAAGTATAGCCACCCCTGATCTCTTTTGGTCAGCATTTGCAAGAAATGTCATTTTCCATGTCTTCAATTTTAGCCTATGTGTCCTTAAATCTAAAATGAGTTTCTTATACATAGCTCAAATTTTTTTTTTATAAAACTGCTTCATGAACATAACATAAGAAAATGCACTTTTCTCATTCCTAAAGCCAGAATCATGATTAACTAGAAAACACTAGAAGATTTCTTATAACAATAAGGAAAATAAAAAAAAATGCCCATCCTCACTATTTTTAATCAATATTTTACTAGGCATACTTAGCTGATAAAATACATAAAAGAAAGAGGGTTAAAGTATAAAAATCAGGAAAGAAAAAATAAATTATTTATATCTGACAGAATTGTGAATCTAGAAAACTTAAATTCAGTAAGTGAATTTACAAAGTTAGTAGAGTGCAAAATTAATCCACAGAAAGCAAAGCTTTGAAAATATATAAGGGCAACTTATGAGAAGCTACATTTGGAGAAAAATTAATTTATATTAGCAACAAAACAGATAAAGTACCTATAAACAAACATAAGAAAAATGCAAGGCATATATGAAAACATTTTAACACTACTGAAGAACTCAAAAGAAATATTGAATAAATGGAAATAAATGCCATTTTGTCAGAGATGTTATATCTCAACATCATGGAGTGTGAATTTTTCTAAAGTTAATTTACATTTTTTAAGTGATGCAAGTAAATTTACAACTAGATTGTTAGAATTAGACAAGCTAATTCTAAATTTGATATAAAAATGAATAAACAAAATAGGAAAACATTGAAAAGCACTAGCAATATAGAACTAGCCCAATTATATTAAATACAAAAGAAAATCATTAAAACTATATATTAAAATATATTATACAGTCCAAATATAGGCTTATGGTTAGAATAACTTAGAATAAAGGATTAGAATAAAAAATTTGGGATTAGACACAAAAAGAAATGGGAATTTAGTATTTGAAAAAGTTGGCAATTAAAATCAGGAAAAGTGTTAAAGGAAGATGGATGACTCAATAAATATTTTTCGGACAAGTGAATAGAAAGATGGATCTACACCTCACATCATACACCAAAAAAAAAAAAAGTTCAAACAGACCAATGTAGATAACAAATCCTTAAAAATAGTAAAAGATAATGTTGGTTACATTTTGTCAAATTTTGTCATTTTTAATCTTAGGGTGAAAAGAGTATTCCTAAATTGAACAAAATAATCCATAAACCACAGAGGAAAATTAAATATGTTCCATTACATAGAAAAATGACCATATGGCAAAAAAAATGATATAAGCAAAATTAAACGAAAAGAATGATGAGAAACAATAAATATTTGTAGCTCTTACCATAGACAGAGAGTCACATAGATTAATAGATACATAGTCCTGGGTTTTTGTATAGACAAAAATCCAATAAAAAATGAGCAAAAGAAATAATTTCCAAATAAAGAAAAAACAAAAGGTTCTGTTAACATACAAAAGGTGTTCAAACTACTAACTTTAAGAAAATTAAAATGCTAAAACTTGCACTGTATTTAGAAACCATATTTCACCCCTCAGATTGTTAAAGCCCAAATGTTGTCAATACCCTCTGTTGGGAAGACCAAAGAAAAATAGGCACTCCTATATATTTTTGGTGGGGACATAAATTTGTGCAACTCCTCTGAAAGGCATTTGGAAATAATTAACAACATTACAAAGGCATATAGACTTTGACCCAGAAATTACACTTCTGAGAATTTATCCTGCCGGTATTCTTCCACATATGTTAAAAGACATATGTAAATGGTTACTCTTTGTGGCATTGTGTCTAGTACACAGGAAATCTAAAACAATCCAAAGGCCAACGAATAGAAAACTGGTTAAATAAATTATGACATATCCATAATAAGGAAAACTTGTCTGTTCAAAAAATGATAATAATTAGGAAATTCTCCATGTACTAGAATGGAAAAATGTGTCTGAAATCAGGCTAAATGACAAATGCAAGATGCCAAATACTATGTTTACTATGCTAACTTTCATGTTAAAATGAAGGGGAAAAAATTAAAAATACTAATAATGTATTATATTTGCATTTTATAGACCCTGAAAGGACACACAAGAAATTACTGATGTTATTACCTAGGATAGGGAGAGATGGGGGGTAAATCAGGGAAGGAAGGGTCTATAATCTAAAGAGGCTTTGACTTTCTACCTTTAATATATAGAAATTTGGAGCATTTTTCATGAAAGAAAATATGTATAAGATTTCTTAAAACTGGGGAGAGCCTACAAAGGAAAGAGAATCACATATTATACTAGACTTTGCAAACACAGTAATATACTGTGGCAATAGTTATAAAGGATAAGTGATTTTACATATTAATCCAAATTACTTCTTATTTGTGGAGGCAAATACAACATATTTTCAAATATTGAGCACATATTTAAAACACTTGATAATACCTTAGTCAAGTGAAAAATAAATAAGAATAAATACATAAGAAAGTATATATTCAGGAATTGAATAAAATTTACAGTTAAGTTTAAATTTACAGATGCATTTTCAGCAACTATTTAGTCCAGCTAAGTTTATTCACTGGGTTAAATTCCTCTAAGCCAGGCACAAAAGGCTCTTATATTAGATTGTAAAAAGACATAAAGGCAAAGCCAATCAGATATAATGTATAAAACAATATATAGCAGGTACAATTTACAACAACAAAAAAAATCCAGAATGGCAAAATCAAAATCAGTGTGCTATCTATTAATCAATCAATCACAGCCTATCAGGAATCAATTGCTCAATAGAACACCAAACACATCGAAAAATGAATTAAAAATACAAGGAAAGCTGACTTTATAGTAAATGTATTCAAATTAATAGGAAAAACTATAACAATATGTTCTTCAAATGATTTGGGTTAAAAAGTAAATAAAAGTTTCTGTCATGATTAAAGCTTTACTAAGAGATCTACAATGTAAAATAGGGCCTATGTTATATATCAGGAGTGATTTTTCATCTATTTTAAAAATCTGTCTAAAAGCGACTTTTATCATCTTAACATTCTGTGTATCTTAAAATGACAACAGGGACCCCAAGAATCTGAAAGAAATCTACCACTGGAGAAATTGTAAATAAATTCGAAAATTATTCACTTTAATAAATCATTCCTAAGTCGAATGTTTCCTGGAGTCCTTTGAAATAAATTTATGAGGAGTTGAAACATAAAATCCAATTAGTCTCATAACTACCAGTTTTTGAAGACTTACTATGTTCAAGACTCTAACTTAGATATGTAAGATACATATCAAGTATGCATATATATGTATGTATACACACATAAAATAAAGTCTTAAAATTTTGAATATTGAATGATTTGGTTTCTGTTTTAAGTTAGTATTTACCTCACAAGAATTACATTAATATTGATTTGTATTATGTAATAATGCCTATTACAAACATGAAGAGTTTCTGAGAAGGGAGGAACTTGCTCAATGATAGACCACCTAGGAGGTGATTGAACCAAAATTTGAATTGAAGAAGAGAAACTGAGTTAAATAATGTGGCAAATAATTATCTATAATTTCTGTGATTTTGAATCGTAATGTATTAGAACAATAAAACCAATAGTACTTCTCTTTACCTTACAGTGAAATGTAGAACTTTCTTTTTCATGGACTCCAGCTTTTTATTCCGATATTTTGTTTGATCCTTTTTTATTGATGGTTTCTTCAAAGGAAGAACATGGGCCTCAATGGGGGGAAAGAACAGTTTGGAAAGAGTGTCGGCAATTCTCCACCCAATATATTTGGAGAAAACTTCTTCTCCTACATTTGATGAGATGTTTGTACTATACCTAGTGAAAGGATCGGTTGGGTCATTTAACTCAGCCTGTTGAAAGAAACAAGAAAGGAATCAGTTGAGACAGGATTAAATGGGAAAAAAAAATCATGTATTATTAAATTTTTTAAAGTATCTTTATTTTCTTTGACTAATATTGCATTGTTCCTGTTAAGTAAAAGTAATCTTGATTAAAAAATTGCAGTTTTCCAAAAGATTTCAAAAACCAAAATAGCAAATTTCAGTGAAATAAATAAACATTAATGCATCCAGTCTTGAAACTCTGAAAATTTAATAAGGTAATTTTTATTTTTAATTTGATATACTTGCTACGTAAGAATTTCATACACATTCTGGAATTTTATATAATAAGAAATTAAGCAATCAGTTGAAGTAATGTACATTGTATTAAATCAGACTTTTTTTTTACACACAATCTAAACTGTTCTTGATATCAACAGAGCATTTTTTTTTTTTCTTTTTTGAGAAGGAGTCTTGCTCTGTCACCCAGGCTGGAGTGTAATGGCACAATCTTGGCTCACTGCAACTTCCATCTCCCGGGTTTGAGCACTTCTCCTGCCTCAGCCTCCTAAGTAGCTGGAACTACAGGTGTACACCATCACGCCTGGCTAACTTTTGTTATTTTTAGTAGAGACAGGGTTGCATCATGTTGACCAGGCTGGTCTCGAACTCCTGACCTCAGGTGATCTATCTGCCTGCCTCAACCTCCCAAAGTGCTGGGATTACAGGCATGAGCCACCAGGCCCGGCTAAACAGAACATTTTTATAGAGCAAAAATTTTAAGTGAAAAGCAAATAAGAGCTTTGTATTTAGCTTAAATTGAAGATATTTAAGATTTTGATTTTGATTAAATTAAATATGTTCTAACACCAAAGAGTAAAAAAATTACAAAAATTTCCCATTATTTAAGCAATATTTATTCAGGAAAAAGCTATTTTCTGAAATTTCCTATTCCTGTTTGATAATGTCCAGGACCGCTTTTTAATTACTTCTTTTAAAATGGCCAGAGGCATATTTTCTCTGGCTATAATCAGTAATAATAAATGAAAATCTAAGTAAAATGGCATATGTTACCAATTTTTTTATGTTCATGATATGTGCATACTATTAACTCCTTTTCTTGTAAATAAGTTGGATACTGCCCTTTATCATTTGTTTTTACATTTTCATTGAATATTATCTGTCTTCAGGTAGCTCATTACCAGTCACTCAGGATTCATTTTAGATGCATATCAATTTTGCGATAGGAAAGATAGAAATAAAAAATGTTTTTCTATATACGAACATCTAACTTAACCTCTTTCAGCTTCCAAAATTAGGCCTGGCTAAATTAAATTACTGATGAAAGATTGATTATTGAATTATTTAGACAAAAGTATAGTAGAAAAAAATGAGTACAGTCTCAGGATACAGACTGAAAGAAAATCAGTTAAAGCAATGAGAAAAATAGCAAAAGGCAAGTATGCAAATATGTGTCACTGTGAAAGTTATAGGGGACTACATAACTATATAAAGTTATATAGTCAAAGAATAACATGAAAAAAACATTTACAAAGGAGAAGGTAAAAATCATGCAAAGTAAGCAAGCACATGATTCAGTAATCCCACTACTGGGTATATCCAAAAGAAAATCAGTATGTCAAAGAGAGAGCTGCCCTGCCATGTTTATTGCAACATTACTCTCAATAGCCAAGCTATGAAATCAAGCTAAGTGTCCATCAACAGATGAATGGATAAATAAAATGTGGTATATATGCACAATGGGATAGTACTGAGCCATAAAAATAGAAGAAAATTCTACCATTTGTAACGACATGGATGAGCCTGGGAGACATCATGTTAAGTGAAATAAACCAGGCACAGAAAGACAAATACCACATGACCTCACTTACATGTAGAATCTAAAATGTTGATCTTATAGAAGTAGAGTGGGATGGTGTTTAACAGGGACTGACAGGTGAAGGGCTTGGGAGATGTTGGTCAAAAGATTTCAGTTAGATAGAATAAATAAATTCAAGAGATCTAATGTACAACATGGTGACTATAGTTAATACAAATACATCGTATCTTGAAAAATGCTAAGAGAGTAGATGTTAAGTATTCTCACAAAAGAAATAATAACTATATGAGGTTATGCATTTGTTAATTACTTCAATTTGACAATTTCACAGCATATATATATTTTAAAATATCATGTTTTACACAATAGATGTATATGATTTTATTCTTCAGTGTAGAAAAATAAAATAAAATGACACCACCAAAAAAGAGCTCCTACATTTTTTTACTCAACATATAGTACAGTATTGCACAAATGAAGATATTATGGTGAACTCTGGAATTACTAAGAGAGTTATGAATGAATAAATGAATGAGTGAACAAATGGATCAAAAAACTGATGTCTTCTCATGATATACTTTTTGGTAAAATATACTGTAATCAAAGATAACATTAACCTATGAGGCAGGAGAATAGGATCTGGAGAAAGGGAACCTAAAGCCTATTCTCACTGACTTCCTAGAACTAAATCAAAATAAAAACCTCGACTTTCCATGCCCAAGTTAAAAAAGGACCTTGCAACCCCCACTTCTCTGTGTGGCAGATGAAAAACTGAAAGCACCTCTGGTTGGTCCTTTCCTGCAACCAATCAGACTCATAATGGGTTAAGTCTTTCTTTGCATAGGATTTGGAATTTATTGTTCTCCTTTCCCCTTTTCCTATCTGTTTCATACAGGGGAGTCTTTTTTTCCTCTCTCTCTTTTTCTGGCTTTTCCTTTCCAACTTGGGATCCTTGGTGGGCAGTGCCTAAACACAGAGGCAACTGCAGGTTTCTGGCTGGGGCCAATCTCTGGAGAAATGGAAAGGTTTTCATGTGGAAGCCTTTGACTGCTACCACCCAGTTCTAAGGGACCTGAGTCCTTTTCCTTTTTTTCTTTTAGTATTTCTGCATCTGTTTCCTAGTAGCTCCTTGGTATTTGAGGCCAACTGGCCAGGGCCATGCTCCAGTGTTGTCTGAAGGCGAAGGAGTGAATGGGGATAGCTGCCTTGCCTGGAAGGTGGATGGACTCTTTTCTATCTTTTCTGGTTATAGTCCCTGATCTCTATGTGTCACACAATTGACAGTGGCACAGGGTGAACTCATGTTTCAGGCCACTTAAACCTTCTTTTCTTATAGTCCCTGATTCCTACATGTGACACAATTGGCAGCAACAGCTCCTCCAGAGTGAACTCACACACATTTCAGGTGACTTGAGCCTTCTTTTTTCATGCTAAATTCTTCCCTTCCCCTATTTGACTGGTCAAGGACAAAAGAAACCCACCAACTATGCAAAGAATGTTATAAAGAAAAGAGATGACTGGTTGTTTAAAAGAGGGACGGGATGTTTAGGACAAGTCAGAGGGTCTGGGAATGTTGTAGATGGTCTGTGTGGGGCATGGGGGGCATTCACGAAAAGGAATTTATGCAGGAACTGATGTACAATCTAATGTGGATTTCTTTCCTAAATTTAGAGAGTAAAAGAGTTGCTTTAAGTGGGATAGGAAAACCTTAAGGAACACTCATAATGGGTCAGTGGTGGAGGGAATGATTCCAAAGCAATGCCAGCACCCATCTAACGTCAGAGATGTCTGACAGACTAAGACAGGGCTCAAAAGGTGAATGCCCCTGGGGACGCCAGTCAGGACCTAGAATTTTTCCAGGATGCCTCAAGCATCACTCGGGTCACTTGATAAACCCTCTACTATTCAAAGTCCTCCTCTCTTTTCCAGACCACTATGGGCAACTCTCCATCTACTCCACCTGATTCCACTATGGGCAACCCTCCATCTATTCCACCTGATTCCTTGCTTGGCTGCATCCTCCACTATTGGAATCAATTTGATACTGATAATCTAAAGAGAAAACATATATATATACATATTTTTTTCTGCAATGCTGTTTGGCCCAATTATGAGCTGCCCAGCCTGGAACAATGTGCAGTCAATGGTAGCCTTAATTATGACACCATCCTGCAATCAGACCCATTTTGCAAGATGCAGGGCAACTGGTCAGAAATACCGTATGTACAGACCTTCATGACCCTATACCAAAACCTAACCATCTGCAGAACTCCCAGAAAGCCCCCCAAACGAAAGTCCTAAGGCAGAACTAGATATTACAAAATGATCCTCTTTTACAAGGGCCACCTATCTTTCAGGGTGAACAGCATCTGTCTCCATACAGTCCCTTGCCAAGTGCTCTTGAGGCTAAACCCCGAACACTGGGAACCCTACTAAGTCTCCCTCACACTCAAAGGAGAACATCTTATTCAACTCTCCCTGCAGCCCTACTACTCCTTATGGAAGTAGCAGAAGCTGAGGGGCCAGTCCTAGTGCAGGTCCCTTCTCTATAACTGAAATACAACAATATAAGTAAAAGCTAGAAAGCTATTTCAAGAATCCCAGGAAATTTGCAGAAGCTTTCCAGACTTTGGCCTTAGCCTTTGCTCTCTCATGGAGAGATGTTCAATTCATTCTAGCAACCTGTTGCACCCCCTTGGAAAAAGATCAAATCTTTGAGACCGCCTGCGGGGAAGCAGATGATTTATTCATCTGAAACCTTCAGGGTCCTCACCTGGGCCCAACCAGTCTCCACTATTGATCCTAATTGGGACTATAATACCCCCATGAGAATGAACAACTGGGCTAAATTTCCTTGGAGGAATGAGAAAGGGAATAACTAAGGCAGTAAATAATGTAAATGAAGGGGGGGTTACACAAGCCAAGGAGGAAAATCCAGCCATGTTATATGGCAGGCTGGAGGAAGTCTTTACAAAATATACTACTCTGGACCCTTCTTTTTCCAAAGGCAAAATATTAATGGCACAGTATTTCATTAGCCAGTCCACCACAGACATCAGACTTAAGCTCCAAAAGCTACTGATGGGGCCATGAACTAATCAAAATCAGGTTTTTGATACTGCTCTTATGGTGTATAACAGTCGTGACCTGGAAGAAGAAAAACAGGAACAGAGTGAAGAAAAATGGCAGG